ACACACACACACACACACACACACACACACACACACACACACACACACACACACACACACACACACACACACAGTCAGAGCAGCAGCAGCCAGACGCAGGCCCCTTTGGCCTGCTGCAGATTTAAATGACTGTAATCAGTGGATGAATAGCAATCAGCAGCCTTGTATGAACTGCTGGCAGAACGCCTGACCCCCGGCTCCCTCCAACCAATCAGAGCGCCTCGTCCCATTCACAACTAATCACAACGTGTACGCAGAGCTCACCACTTCCCTCGTAATTGACGGAAGGAGCACTCTTCTCCTGTTTTTTTAGTCTTTTTGTGTGTCAGGCTGACCAGATTGTTGAGGGATGACGCTGTCGATGAAGCTCCTTCCTGTGCTCGCTGTGTGGTGGCAGCCGTGGTTTTCCGCCTGGCACGAGGGCGTCGTCACAGAGGAGAGTTTGAACCAAACAAAGTTTCCCATTTAGATTTTGTTTCTGTTGAGTGATGCATAATCAACACCTTTTGACCAAATAGGTGGAAGCAGAACTCAGATCTCCCAGAACCTGATGGATCAACAACACAAGAAATCGCTAGCTGAGTTTTGATTAATTGATTTTGATCAAAAGGGTTTATTGTTGGGCTTCTTACAGCAATAAATGTGGGAAAACTAAGCAAGGAGTTGATCAGCCTGACTAACTATAAACCTTTTTTAATAAAAACATCTAAAACAGTGAAGCTGCTTGAGGGTCACCGCTCCATTGTTTATAAAAGGACCAGGGGCGGTTCTAGGGGCAGGGCCACTGGGGCATTGGCCCCAGCTGAAATCCAATTGGCCCCCTGAAGTGCCCCTGTCCTGTCACTCATCTGTCCTTTACCTGAGATCAGTGAAGATGGGTGCAGTTCCATGCCCAAACGCTAGAGGCCCTAATGAGTCAAACAGTAAAGTTTTTTTTATTGAACATAGAATTACCTTTGTTTTTTTAAGAGATGAATAAAGTTTGAAATAAAATAAATAAATAAAAATTTATGCACCTTACCAAAACCGAGGATTTATGTGCACGCATGTTGAACAAATACTTGTCCCCTCTATGAATATCATGGCCCCTTGATGGCCCCTTACTCAGAAAAATCCTAGATCCGCCACTGAAAAGGACAGGAGCAACATTTTTTATATTAAAATCAAGTCGTGACTTCTTATAGGAACTATTCTGTGAGCACTTAGAGGCCACGGCTTCTTAAAATTTTTTCTTATCCGGGAGTCTTCAGGAGAAATCAGCATTGTGACACATGTTTTTACAGTAAATTTTAAGTCAAATTAAACAAAATATATTCCGAAGTAAAGATTTTTGATGGTTAAGAGATCACAGTAAAAGTAAAAACAACCAACTCTGATAAATTTCGGGGAAAAAAAAGAAAAAAGGAAAAGTTCCTGGAGGGGAATCTGTCATAAGACCCCCCCCCCCCTTCCTATCTCTTCTCTTTCTTACCCTCTGCCTCCCCTCCGACTCTTACCCACCCCCTGCTTGCTGCCAGGGGTGGATCCCAGCATTTATCTCCAGCATCCAGCCTCCGCGTCTCCTAGCAACACAACAAGGACCATTTAACTGCCCCAGCATCCTCTGCTTTATCCGCTCGCTTGTTACACACAACATGCCAACTGCCTTTGTTCACATGTTCCAGCTTTTATTTCCCGTCACGAGGCCCTAAACTCTCTTCTCCTCTTTTCTTTTCTTTTTTCTTTTTTTGTCGTACGACTTGTCTCCTATGCAGGCCTGCAGCTCTCAAACCCTATCAGTGCCACACTCGAGGGGAGACAGACAGGCAGGAGAGGCTGTTCTGTCAAAATGTGTCTCTCCAGGTGCACGCACACACACACACACACACACACACACACACACACACACACACACAC